CCTTAAATTTTCTGGGTTTGTAGATGTCCTTAGGGCAAAAACATTTTTCTTCCTCCCTAGGTTCCAGCTTTCACTTTGATTTTGGCTTGATGGTTCTTTCCTATCTTGTCAGCTCATTAGTATTTTAAAGAAGATGTAAAAAAAAAAAAATGCTATCCATCATTTTTAGTTTTCTGTGGGAGAGTTGTCCAAATATACTAGCCTGCCCTATTTCCAAAAATGGAAATCAAACTCGCTTATTTTACAGTTCACAAAAAGGAGTTCAGAGAGGCCGATAACTTGCTCAGACCTTGGAGTTGTTGCTCAATTCTGGGGGCTCCACCGCAGTTCCCAGTGTTCACTTTTCTTAGGGTTTTCCATTCTGTCCAGTAGTTTCAACGTCACTGTCCACATAAGCAAAATGGAGATTGGAGCGTTTAGGCCCAAAGTAATGTATGTGCATGGAAAGTTATCAAAATTAAGAATTATATCTGTACACCCTTCCTCTCCGTGAAATTTTTGGCCTTCTCCTGCCCAAATTCACTTTTCTGTTTTGGCATTGAATGTACAAGATTTTTAGAGGGGGCTCGTGAAGAACTAATTGAGTAAAATGAGAATTAGTGGATTGCCATACTGCAATCTCTGAGTACCAGTCAGTCCCATAAAAGTTACCAAGCCTGTCCTAGTTGGGATTTAAAAAAAGAAGTAAGAAAACTCTTGAACAATTGAGCCCATTTCAGTTTTTTGGAAGCATTGTTTATATCACCCGCTTGCTTTTTCCCTTTTGTTCCTTACGCCCCGGAATATTGCCAGTACTTCTTACTCTCATCTTTGGAGGAGTCACCAGGCAAGGGAGAACTGAATATTCAGACAGCTTCATCCCAGGCAGTTTTTTAGTTGTTCCTATTTTGCCTTAATTATTCCCTGTTCTTTTGGGTCATCACCTAGCTGTAAGCACTTCTCACCCAACACTACTGGTTTGTAGCACATAGGAGATTGAAAAGTACTTATGAATTAAGCCTGTTTCTTTCATATAAAGAACATGCATCACAGCCTAGTATGCTATAAATATTGGGTATATAGCTGTATGTATACCCACATGGTTACTTGTGGCTTTTATTGATACTGTCAGTAGCTCCATCATGTTCTGTTCTTAGCATTGGGGCTGTGTGGACATTTTTCAAGTTTAATATCAGAGTTAGGTGCTATTTCTCCTGAGCAATTCTTGTATAGTTATCTGATAGTCATTGTCAATCTTGTTTTTACTTTTTGCCTTGCCGACAACTCCTAAAATTTTGATGCATCTTTAGCAGATATTCAGTCTCACCTTAACTTCTGGCTCTATAGTTTTAGGTTTTCATTTTATAACCTCTTGATTCCCTTAAATATTTATTTTATGTACTTAATGTGATATATGATAGTGTAATCTTTTGTGGAAACACTGGTGGGTTGAAACTCTCAAGTAAACACATCCACTCGATCTGTTGCTACAGGAGGGAACCTTGTAGCTGGCTGTAGAGAGATAGGAAGTTCTTACTAGGGAGGTACTTGTGGTAGTGGGGAAAAGCACTCTCTGGATCCAGCATTTCCCAGCACTTGTGTTTTTATTCCAGGCCTGCCATTTGCTGACACATTGGACAAGTTTCTGTTCCAGCTAAGCTTCAGTTTTCTCATATATAAAATCAAGATGGGATTAGGGTAGTTACATGTCTAGCACAGCATCTGACACACACATAGGCTCGTTCAGTGTGAGCTGTTATCTTTGGGGAGGTGTACGTTTTATGCAGAAGGACTAGCAAGAATAAAAGCATGGTGGTGTCAAAAAGTGTGCAGTGTCCAGCAGGGAGTAAGGATTGGCCAAGGGCAGGTCATATATGGGGTTGACATAAAGAGTGAGTCTATACAGGAATGATGGGAAGCAGATGAGATGGGCATGTATACTGAATGCTACTGAAATGGTTGGACCAGACAGGACTTTTCAGATATGGTGTGAGACTGTTAGTGGCATGGACATGTGTTTCTATAGCACAGTCATGTGGTTCTCAACTTCTGGGTGAATGAAAATTACCTGGGACCTTCTTAAAAACATTTCTCTTGGCCACACTTCTGGAGTTCCAGACTGAGTAGGTCTGGGATGGGCCTTAAGCTGCTGATTTTGAAATGAGTATGCCACGTGAGTCAGGTTAGGTGGATGCACTTTTGAGATGAGATGCACTGGACTGGTTATTGAGGAGATGCTTACTGACTGGCAGTCTGAAGCTTGGGGAAGAGGAGATGGAAAGAAATGGCTGAGAAGTAATGTTTTCACCTCTGTTATGAATTGCCTTATCCAACACGTAACTTTGCTTCTTCTTGCTATGGATAAATGAACACCAGTTACATAGATTTTTCCCAAGATAAAATATAATTAGAATTCATAGAACGGTTTAATTTATTGGGTTTGGTAAGAACTAGTGATTTGTCATCATCCCCTAGATCTAGCAGGAAGCCAAGGGAGGGAAGAGCCTGTTCAAAGAGAGCAATAACAGGGAAGAAGCACAAAGGAAGGCACAGCAGCGTGAGGTCAGGAAATGAGAAAGATGGAAATGGGAAAGGATGGGAAAAGAGCAGTCAGATCTGATTGGTTGAGAATCTATTTGTGAAGGAACCCAGCCAGTATTTAACCTGTTTTGAAAAAGCTTGACTTCCAACATTTTTAATTAGTGGATTGCTCGCTTTTGAAATTGCCCAGTTGGGAATACTCAAGTTTTGATGCGTTTTATCAGCCTGCTAATTAGCAGGCTGCTTGGTTGACCATCATTTTCCCTTTATTTGGTGGACAGTAGATATATAGAAAACTGTCTCTTGAAACATTCCAGCTCAAGTCTGGGTTCAAATGCATAAGGCACCTCATGTATTTAGGAAGAGTTCTTACTAAATTATAAATCAAATTCAAGTACATCTTTTTCTCAAACTCCATTCTTTATCCTGTAGCATAGGGCATCTGTGTCTCAGCATAGTGGATATTTGAGGCAAACAGATTTTTGGTTATAGGCAGCTATTCTTTGCCTTTGTAGTATTTATGGCAGCATCCCTGACCTATACTCACTTGTGACAACCAAACAACACCCCCCCCCACAACGGGTGACAACCAAAAATGTCTCTAGACCTTGTCAGTGTCCTGTGGGAGAAGATCTACTGGCATGGCCATAAGTTGCCTTTTCTGTAGGTCTCTGTCTACCTAATATGTTTAGAAACCTCTTTTGAAATTGAAAAGATAAAATGAGTCAAACAATATGAAGTCTTATCATAAAGAGAAGGGATGGAGTCAAATCTGTTGTTTTACTAATAACTTTTGACCAAATTTAAGACTTGAAAAAACTCTCAAATTAATCTAAACTGGCTGTTACAGGTGAAAAAGAATCAAGTTGTACCAAATCTTTGAAAACTTACAGTAGTTGTGAGATCTTATTATTTATACACTTTTTTATTTGCTGAAAAATTTTGTTTTTTATTTAAGAATTAAGAGAAATAAGTAGGCTACAAAACTTATCAGTGTGAGAATCCCAAAGGGTTGTAAGTAACTTGTTTGTGTACTTCAGTTCAACATGTACAGGATAGGCCAGCATGTTGGGTTGTTAAACAGCAGATTTTGGAGAAGTTTTACACTTTCTTTCCAGGCTTGATGTAGTCCCCAGAGCTTCCTTCACATGCCTTAAAGCTCACAGTGCACTGATTACAAGTGTCCACGGGGGACATCTGTGTGCAGTTGCATTCTCTTCCAAAGCACCAATGAAAAGGAACTGGAGAGAGACAGACAGGGACAGAGAGAGAGAGAGAGAGAATCCAAGTTTAGTGGTTATAAGTTAGATGCTGCTGTTATTCCATCTCTTAAGATATTCTGTAACACCATGTACTCTACTGTACTCCAAAATAAATCAGTTAATTATACTATGATTACTTCTGCTGATAATAAATAGCAATAAAAGGAATGACAGAAGACCATTAAGAGAACAAACAATATCCCTGAAATACTGGGAAACACAGTAAGTGGGATTCTATCTCCTGGAACAGAGTTTCACACCCTCCTCCAATTCTGTCAGGGTATGTTTGTGATGGCCGTCTGTTATCAACCCTGATCAAAATAATATAACACGGAAACTTTTCATACTTACAGTGGGCATTTCACCAGAAACCTCAAAGCCATTCCTAAATATAGAGGAACTAATCTTTAAAACACTAAAGTTTTAGGCACTTGATGTTTTAGGTAGTTACAAAACATTTCTTAACATTTCTAGTCAGCAGTAAATATGGGCTGGGAGAGAATGCCACCTTTCTGGGAGCTCTCTTCACCATAGTTTATCAAAATAAAACATTGCTTTGTAATTTAATAGCAAATTTATTTCCATATCTCAAAGTCCAGATTAAGGATGTAGGCCAAGTGTTATGTCTAGTTTAAAAAGAAAATTTAAAAGAGAAACTGTTATCCTAACCTAAAAAATTAAAAGAAAAAGAAAAAATTCCTACTATCCCTGCAATATGGTGTTAGATGTAGGCTACTGAGTGCTTTTTTCGTTTCATATTTTGTGTTAATATCTGTTGTCTGGTGTGAGAAGTATGGGTTGGAGAGCATTACGACAAAGCTGCTGAAAGTGTTGGTGTGGATATTTACCTTAATTTAACTTATCTTTGGATTAAGGTTGTGGTGAGTGTGTTTTGAACTTTATACCATCCAAAAGATTTAATAAAACTTTAAGTGCAGTTCATGTCCATAAAATTTTAGCCTATCAGACGCTGTGAAGGATGGAAGTAATTTTTATGTGCATACCTCTGGTTCCTGAGGGTCCAGTTCATTTCTGCTGTGAATTTAAATGAGTTAATTTAAGTAGATGGGTCAGAAGCCACTATCATCATGGTAGCCCTGTGCCTGCTTCTTAATTAAAGGCAACAGGAGATTAATTTGAAACATTAATTTAAAAGTGCATATACAAAAAGAAAGAATTATTGCAAGAAAGCCTAAAGAACTTTTTTCTTATCCCTAGATGTAGAAGACAGAAGTAGCTCAGGGTCCTGGGGGAATGGAGGGCATCCAAGCCCGTCCAGGGTAAGTATATCTAATCTTTTTCCCTTACAAGCAGATACCCATATATGTAAATTGACAAACTCAAGGTTAGTTTCTCACACATGGGAGCACAGACACATGGACACACATACACACACACCTGCACAGATATATCTGCATACCAAGTTTAATGAGGATCAGCTTGTCTTTGGATTTTTTTTCTCTCTCTTACTGAATACTGTTACTGAATTTATACCTGTTCCATTTGTGCTAATCCAAAGAAAAATTCTGTATTAAGTGTTTGGCCTCACCTTTGCCATTTATTGATCCAGTGATATATCAAGTTATTTTTCTTTGTAAATAGAACAACTTTGAATAACCCCCAGTTTCTTTGTAATGTTGTGACTAGACTGATAAATCATCCTGAAGATACTTTTGTGAGGTCCTATCCTACCTATATGGACTAGGTTGATTTCACTTTGTATCCATAATTGTTCTACCAGTAGGGCCTTTGGTCGCCTGTTGGATTCATTTGTTTTTTTATCTCAAATTTTTACTACCCCTTTTCAAGTTTTCCCTCCATTTTGTTTGGTCCTTTGTGTATATTGGTGCAATTTTGGAATGTGATAGCAGCCTTACACATTGTGTGCATATGACCATGGGTAGGTCACTTCACCTCTTTGGGCCTCATTTTCCTAACTTGTAGGATGAACAAGCAGAACCAGAGGATCAGTTTCTTCTAACTTGAACATGCAGCTTTAATAATGTACATACAATGCCCAAATTGAATGTAGACTTAGTGTACGTGGTAAGATAGACACCGCTCCTCCCACTGGCCTTCTAGCTGAAGCATTCTGCAGGGAAGAGTAAGATTTTACTGCAAGTGCTCACATCAGTTTGGAATGGGGAGAGGTCTCTATTTTGCCTTTAGAGGCAGGGTGGTCATCAGGCTGTCAAAATGAGGACATTCTGGCAAGTCACAGTTCTATATTTCCACCTGTCCTTGGCATTGTGAGCCTCATGCTAGTCTTCAGGGTATAGCAGGATCTCTGAGCTTTCTGGGAACCTTGTTGAGCCCTACACCAGCTGTCGAGCTTGACATTCTAATGTATTATATGGATGGGTTGAGGAAATCTTTCCTCCTCCTCACATTACAGTCTGCACTTGCAGAAATAAATCCATTCCCCTTGACAGCAGTGGAGATGACAAAACTTCCCTCTGTTGTTTAGTTCATTCAGACTTGTTTAATATCTTCTCATATACAAATGTATTTATGCTGTTCAGTACAACTTTGGCTGAATCGAACCAGATCAAACACACAATAAGAAATAAGAAACAAAAATTAATAATTTTACAATACAGATAGTACTTTGAATTGAGTTTTGGCAAACAATATCTATTTAGAATCTTCATGACTGGCTTTTACCTTTACTTTTCATTATTAACCATTTTGTTTAAGGCATATTGCTGAATAATTTTGAGTCAGCATACTATAATTTGTGCTTTACAAATCCAGGGAGTTTCATGAGACAGATATTTGTACACTTGTACCCAGACAACCGTGCCAGGTCTCTCTTCTCCAGTCTTCAAGTGGGGATAGTCTACCTGTAGCTCTGTGCTGAGGATTAAATTAGATAATGTATATTAAGCTTTCAGTGTACTACTTATGATGAGGACATTTAATAAATAATTATCAGTATTATGTAATGCCTGGTGTAATACCCATGACAAGCATTTCAAATGTGACATCTTTTCATATGTCCACATACTGGCAGAATTAATATTACAGCATCATCCATGTTCATTTGTGTAAATGAAGAAAGGTGGTGATAACAGGGTTGTCTGTCCTGAGGGTCCAGTCACTCTCTAGTGAGGTGCTCTGCCTTTTCATTGTTCAAACGGCATCGTCTTTTATGTGTGGGCAGATTCTGCCCTTTGACTAACATGCCAACTGATACCTCTGAGTAAATTTGACTTAGACTTTATGGGCAGTTCAAACAGCTGAGCAGTCACTTCTCCCTTTTTGGTCACTTTGTGCACTTTAGTAGACTGAAATTTGAACCTTATAATGCAGATAATTTTAACTCTTTTGTACATGTTATCAAATTTCTACTTTAAAATTCAGTGACCAGATAGCTTAATAAACATTGATTTAATTTTAAATTTCCATTATAACAAGAAGATAATTATAATAATGAACAATTTATCCCAAACTGTCTGCTTTAAAACTGATTTTTGGTAGCATATTTTGTCCAACTCCAGAAATACTCTTATACTAATGCTTTGATATTCATTCATAGCAACTGTCCTAGTATTCTTCAACTTATGTGTTAATCACTAATGGGATGAACCAGTCATCTTACAAACACAGTACTAACTATTACAAAATATCAAAACTTCAATATTGTACGCCCAAATATTGTTGGTTAAATAGCTCTGCCTTGGTCTTCCCAAAGGAAATCAATACAGGTTATATATAACCTATATTGCTTTTATGTGGGTTTATGAAAAGAACAGCTTTTTTTTTTTTTAAAGCCATATCGCCTCATTCCCTCATGCTTTAGTTCATTTTTCAGATAGGGTTTCGTGTTTTGCCAGGGCCAGCCTCAGACTATAATTCTCCTGCCCCTGCATAGCTGAGATTACAGATGGTGTTCCACCATCCTAACCCAAGTTTAAACTTTTACTGTGTGCAGTAATACTTCATATGTGCCTGATGTCTTAAATGCATTATTTCATTCAATAATGTAAACATCTCCAAATAGTTGGTACTGTTACCATTATTCCAAGATTTCACAGCTATTATGAGGAAGGTTGAACTTAACCCAGTGTCCCTGTGAAGGTGCAGGTTACTTTCAGACATTCCACAGAGGGAATAATCAGCTTCAGTTTCTTTCGGTGAGAAGGATTTCAGTAGTGGGATATGTTATGTGCTGATTTGCTAATATGAAATTTAAGAAACTTAACTTGTTACTCTATTTACAGAACTACGGAGATGGGGCTCCCTATGACCACATGACCAGCAGGGACCTTGGGTCACATGACAATCTCTCTCCACCTTTTGTCAATTCCAGAATACAAAGTAAGACAAATTTTACATTAACATACACTTTTTGAAGGCTTATAAATATTTTTACCATGAAAGGAGAAACTATGCCACTGACAGAAGTTGTTTTTAGAATGTTGGGTGTTTAGCCAGTTGACTGTAGTAGTCTTAAATTGCAGAAAGAGACTGGGGTCTATGCTTTCTAGTAGCACATCAAGGACAACCATGTGGAATTAAATAATTTCAGTGATACTGAATCTGTGTGACTGTTTTGTCTACTTTAGGCATAAAACACTTAATCTGATTTCACTGTTGCAACATTAGTTTTTTAAGTAGAGGTGGAGGAAGTCAAAGTGGTGAACAGTTGAATAAAAGTATCATTAGTTCTCTCGGTTGGCAAGGACATAGAGTGTTAGCTGTGAATTTTTGTTATTGGGGCTATGGAAATATTGTCAGTGGGCTTTGTGTGCTTAACTCAGAGTAGCTCACTTAAGTTGAGTTCTAAAATCTGTTTGTGTGTTTATCAAGGAGTGAACTTCAGTGCTAATTATGTAGGTAGATCCCATCTTGCATCACCAAAAGCAAGCTACAGGGCTACCTGGATTTTGAGACTGTCTGCAAATTTCTGTCTTGCCTGTCCTTACTGGCATCCTTAGCTTATTTTTCTGCTTTTGACTACCCTGTAGGGATGTTTGTTTAACAGCGGTATCCTGAGCAATGAAAAGATAATTCATAATGGCTTAAAAGGTCCCAATAGCTGGCCACTTTAGTTTTGATTGAAAAAAAATGATCTTTGTTCTAGTAAATGTGAGTTCTTAACAATATTAACAAGTCTTTCAACCTGGCCAAATTCTATTGCAAATCTGTCAATAAATGAAATTCAGCTTCATGACACAAGCTGTTGGACCATTCTCCCGAGGAAAACACACAGCAATAATCTTACCATACTGAATCCGTAATTTCAACTGCTTCTTCTAAAGAGTGTCCTAATTTTTAAGCTTTTGGAAACTATGCCAGTTATTTAAGATGCGATTAGTCCTTTAATCTCAGTCATTTTTTCAAAAATCACCATCAGGTATTTAACACCAAATTATTTTTAATGGGTAACATTATATATTTGTGCCTTTTTGTGTGTCCTCCCCGAGTATCATGAGGTTGTGTTTGATCGTAGGTTGTTTTTGTTTTAATGTTTGTTTTGACTTCAAAATGATAAACTTCAAGTGATATTTTAACTTTGTAACCAAGAGAAGACTCCTCTCTGGATTGTTGATAGCGAGATGATCAAACTCCTGTTTTCAGGATATGTAGAAACAGATAAGATATCGTTAACTTACATTTTAAAGGACAACTTTATACTCTTCAGTGTCAGTAGCAACAATTTTAATTCTAACACCTTAGCCTTTCTGTTCATCTTCATCCAACTTTATAAAATAGAATAAAAGATTTGGAAATGAGTCTTGAGAAGTAGCATCAAAAGAATATGCTAACTTTCTTAGAAGATTAGGAAATTAAATTACAGCTCGCATTTACAAGTTTATGTTATATAGGTGAAACAAGTCTAAAAGAGCAACTTGATATATTAATATTACAAAATATACCAAGCAGTACAAATGTATTAAATAATTGTCCTTGTTCATGTTTCCTCATGACCAAATAACTGTTTTACAAACCAAATTAGTTTTTCAATCCAAATAGTATTTAAAATATAAGTGGGCTGATAGGCTGGAGCAGAGAGAGCTGATTCTTTTCACTTCGTTGTTGTTTGAGCTGAAAACCATGTCAGCCTTGTTCTTTCATCCCGTCTGCCCTCCTTCCCATTAAACTCTTAAATATGGAGGCCAAGACCGTCTCCTGCATTGTGATAGGAAATGCTACTATGTCGGTGAGCCTCCCACCCACTGTTCCCCATGAAAGGACTTCTCTGTTAGATAAGCTGTCTGGTCTGAAACATGGCTCTTTATTGTTTACAAACTGCTACATTTTCCACCTCAAGCAGATTTTTGCACAGAAAAGAATTGTGCTTGGGCTAAATGGTTTATCTGACATTAACGGGGCAGTGTCAGACTCGGGTCAGGGAAGTCGCCTTCAGAGTGAGAGGGCTCTGTGCAGTGTGCAGAAAAGAAAAAAGGGAGAAAAAGACATTGAAATAAGCATGAAATATCTTACATTTTTAGTTTAGAGAATTAAAAAATATTTTTAGAAAGCTGACAATGCTCTTCCCACCATTCTAATTTCTCACATCGCAAATGCCTTCTTGATTGACTTGGGTATCTCAGGGCCAGATGCAGGGAACAAAGGTACTCATTGATTTTGTCCAGGCTGCTGTTTATTTAAAATGAAAACAGTTTTTAACATGAGTTGTTTTTAGTGTTATGTTGCATCTTTGCAGAGAAAAGGTAGGTCCTTTTCAAGAAATTAAGGACAGTTTGCAAATAGAGATAAAGGCAAAGTAAAGACCTCTCAGTAGAAAGAACCTTTGGAATTCATAGACTGTATGCTAGATTCTAAACTTTCTGTGTTCAAACCCATATTCTGTGCTGTGACCTTTGTGGACACTTCTTCCTGCCCAAAGAAGATCTTAGACTTCTCTGAAAGTTTTGGATAACAATCCACTCTCAGAATCTTTAACTGGTTTTCATTTAAAACCACAAAAAAGATTTCTTTACAGTTCAAAGACTTTATTCTGCCATGATGTCACATTGGGGTAAAAGCTATAGCATCAGAAATAAATCAACCACTTTATTGGAGCAGATTCTCTATTGTCAAATCAATCAAGCTTGTGACTGAATTAGGCGTCTGCTACAGAAATAAGTGACACTAATTTTACGGGAAAGAGTTATTAACTGCAGATGACCTGATTTTTTTTTTTCCTTCCTGGTAAACTGTTTATTTAGTAAGGGTTTATTTTATGCAAGGAAAGAAAAAAAGTACAGCACCACTCTCTTTGTAGAAATGAGTTATACTATATTTTGTGTCTTAATGGCAATACACTATTTCAAGGAAATGATACAGGCATTTCTTTTTTGGTAAAAAAAACAAAACAAAGTTACTTTTATTACAACTCTGAAGTTTTTGATTTCCCATGAATTTTTTTATTATATAATATTTCTCTTTTGTACTAAAATGTCATAGCTCAGTTTGTGTCTCTTTCAAATATACAAAATGGCATATAACTGATAAGAGTAGTAAAGTATCTTTGTTACTTTCTTCTTTTGGAAATTAGCTTGTGTATTTGAAAATAATAGCCTATTCCCCATAGCTTATGAATCTTTACTATAAAAATGAATGTGCACACACATGCTTATACATGCATGCACACACAGACACACACATTCACAAGCTCAAACAGACAAACGTGCCTGTTGTGCTAGAGGAATTGACGACAATTCTTCGTTGTAAGGTTATTCTTACTGGTTACTTACGTTCTTGTCTAGTTATCGTTGTCATATAAATCCACTAAAAAAAATAGAGCAAAAAAGGAAGTTCCTACTTAAAAAAGAAGCTATGGCATTTTTGTTTGTTTTTGTTTTGATGTGACAAGAGATCTGCAGGGATTGAAAGACCGCAGTGCTGACCACCTGCACCACCAATTCATACACTCTCTCCCCTGACTTACTTTAAGGTGCTCACTCATTGCCTTCATTGGAGAGAGAGAAGCATTTTGCCTGAGATAGAGTTCCATATACTGTTTTGTATCTGGAGAAAAAAAATCGCTTCTTCCTTGTGACTGTCTATGACTATTAATGATAATAATGTACACTTGATCTGTTGGAAACTTGTTCACTGCCTTTTTAAACAGTTTGATTGCACCTTCACAGGTGGTCATTTGGGTAGCTTTCAGAATATGCCAATAAGACAGAGGGGCAATCTGTGTTTTTAAGAGGCTTATTATATGCTATAGAATTGTTTGAAAATCTTAGCAAAGAGGATATACAAAGAGTATGTATTTTATCATTCCATTTAAAAAAATCCTTTTGCTAAGCATTAAATGGTTGCAAGTTTTATTGTCCAAATATTTTTACAGTGGTACACAATACATTTTCTAGCTAAAACGCTTTGATCCAAGGAAGAAGCTAAGCTTGTATTTCCCTCCTATTGTTCCAGAGTCTTAATTGAAAACTGGATTGTTTGAGGATAAGTGAGCCTGTTGCCCAGTAAGAGTATATACATGAATCGGTGAATGAGAGGTGAAAACTGATCTTCTGTACAGTTGGGCACAGCTTAGTTCAACATCAGCTGCTGTGTTTTCACATGTCTCATCGTGAGTGGTTCAGTTTCCTTACTGTGGTATTTGGTTCTAGTCCTCTAATGGTACTGTACCAGGGTGCTGAATAATTCACCGCCATTGAGTCAGTGGTTTCTTAACTAGCTCAGTGGAACATTTTACTGCAGGATTAGATTGAGGTTTCAGGCAGAACCGAAGAAAGCTGCTGGCTTATAGGATGACCTTTGAATCTCATCTGGGTTAGCGGTTGATATTTTGATTTGGTTACTGTGGTCATATTGTGACAGCTGTTGGCTCATTATAATTCGGTTCCACTGCTCCGTTTGCCTAGCAGGAATATTTAGGTTTGTATTACTTCAGAGTGTTTATGGCTACCCCGAGTTTAGCCCAGCATAAAGGTGAAGTGTTGTGAGTGTTTTCAAATCCCAGTGGCAGAGGCGGGTGACACAGTGTTCTTGTAGAATGGCAAGTGTGAGGAGATGTGAATGCATGGAGTTTTTGTTTTCATTGAAAAACTGAAAATATCCAACGAATCGGCTCTTGCGGGGAAAACTGTTTTTTTGGAAACCTTAATGTGCAAAGGAAAAGCATGATGGCAAAGAAACTTAATCTTTTCAAAGCATGGGCGAAATATGACTTCCCTCTTGGTCAGATGGGTTTTCTATGCAGGAATGTAAATATTAGAAAATAGCAAAACCTTCACAATAACAGCCATCATTTGGTGTTTGAGAGTTCCAGAGATCAAATAATATTTCAGTAACTTCACACAAATGGAATTGGGAAAATATATGTCAGCTCTGGACCGTTTAGT